AGTGGCGCACTAGCGCAGTGCGCCACCGGGCCGGCCCTATTTTATTCTATTTTTGAATTATCAAATGTAAAGTTACAAACTATACAATTATAAATAATAGCTTACCAGTGACTGTAAACTCTATAAGTGATGCATCTGAAATAAAACAGTAAATTGAACTCAGTGGTTATCAGTTCCTACCTATGGTTCTCAGTTTCATTCATCAAATACTATTCACTTTACCCAAATAAACAGATTTTGGTGGCTAATGACTAAGCCAAACCAAGATGGGAACAATAATTTTCTATATAGTGTTTACATTTTTACCATTTACTAACGAGCCCTTAAGCTTCAGAGTAGAATTGAATACTGAGGGCCACTGGTTAGCTCAATTGGTTAGAGCACAGCCTTGTAACACCAAAATCATGGTTTCAGATCCCCATACCATCCAGCTGCCAAAAAAGAGAATTGAATACTGAGCATAACGTTCACCAGGATATATTTACAAAAAAAAATTTTCATGACTTTTTTTTGAAGACAATATAGTTGAGAGATATTCTGGAAGAAACTTGATTTGTGCCAGGATAGGCTAATTTCAGCCAGAACAAGTAACAACTCTGGGACCTACTCTTAAAACAGGTCATCAAAATTACTTTTGAAAATGCATTTTTCAAGACAGAAAAATAACCAATGTGAAAAGTTGTAAAATGGAGTTCTAGAAATACATTTCAAGTGAGCGTCTGAATAGGGGGAAGTTAAAGTCTGGCATAAAACTTTACCTTTTAGTACTTCTGCTATTTTACCACTTAATTTTACTATAAAAACCATAAGCTGTTATTTAAAGATTTTATTATAAGACCCATGATTAAAACAAAACCATAAAGATGTGTCTAGATTTATGAGAGGAGACTGATTTTGTCCACTTTCAGAATTGACATTGCACTAAATCTGAACTTGAAGTTGTCTAGGAACCGAGGAAATAGAATTCAGTTCTATCTCAAACTTGGAAAGCTCATCAAAACTACTGGATGGCACAAATTCCCACTTGGACTGCTATCACTCATCCTAGTGAACATCTTGTCTCTATTATCCACGCAAACCAGTTTTGGTTAACTGGACTAAAAAAATATTCAAATTAAACATGACTGCTTTCATTGAGGTAGAGGAAGAGTACAGAATGGTGACTGATACCACACAGCTAACGGAGCATCAGAAGAAGTGAGGCTCTGTGTCTACTATCTTAGGTACAGCCTGGGTGACCTCAGCTACTTACTGAACCCCTCTGAGGTTTAATGTCACTGTACGTAGAACGTGACAAAAATAGACCTGCTTCACAAGCTTGTCATATTGAACAAGAAATACATACACAACATTTAGCATAGACTATCTGGTACATCATAGCATTTAACAAATGGCAACTGTTATCGATATGAATACAAAAATGTTTCCACAGAATGTGTTACTTTTCAATTGTTGTTTCAGCAAACAGGCTACCTGATTCTAGTATCTGGGTCAGGTCAAGTTATACTAACACTGTATAAAAACAACATAATTCTTAAAGGAGAAGGTTAAGAGTAAACTTTTTGGAGACAGTGACTTAAATATACAAAAGATGACTCACATTGAATGAGGGTGATTAAAAAACTCAGATCGACGCCAAAGGCAGCCATGCCAGTTTCACCTCCTTGTGGGGAGTTTGGCATCGAGACAGGCAACTAACGGTTTAAAACCTCTTCTGTCTTAAAACGTCCAAGAATAAGAGGTGCACATCATGTTTAAAAACAACAGTATAGTCTTGCGTGGTAAAACCACGGGGAGGAATGTTTAAGTGTAACAGGAAGCATTGCACAAGGCAACCACAGGAAAGCCAAAAGCAAATTCGGTCTTCAGATAGGCCCAAACAACTGGAATCCACAGTGCAGCTCACAGAGCTAAACCAATGCCAATGGACCACAATTTATTTCATTAAGTGCACTCTGAGAAGGGCAAAATATTAACCATTGTCTGGGACTGTTGAGTACAGGAAAGATGTCTGGCACATCTATGACAGTTTTAAACCCTAAGTCACATGTGGAAAATAAGGTAAAAGATGGAATTCAGTTTGCTCTGAAAACATTTCACCTATTATTGAAAATGAGAGTATACAATGGGTAGAGAGAACACCATAGAAAGACTGAATTCTGTCTCCAACAAGACACCTGGCCTAGGACTCGTCTCAAAGCCTCTGGACTATACTTTACTGGTGGGTAAAACAAGGAGGTGCTAGTAGAGGAAGGCATTGCAACCTGACATGCCTGGGGGATTTTGCTGAGACAACACTGTGTTTCGAAAGTTTTCGATCTGAAGGTCAAAGAACTCCAGCTCCACATGTTTTGCTGTTCCCTTCTGTCTCCCACCCATGTCCTTCCTGATATAATGTAAACCTGCCTGGCCCCTGCAGACTGGGGAGTCTGCAACCCCTGGGCACACAACCTCTAAAGACCTGTACAGTCCTGCTATCCTATGGTCATGCCACTTACTGTCAATAACTCTTCAAAAGTATTGTTTAGGTCACTGTGATATTGAGATGCTAGATAATAAAGTAAATTGGTAAATGAAATATCATTAATCTCTAAAATTGTGAACAATGTATCCTGTAGGTACAGTCAAAATACAGAACTTTTAAATTGAGATACAAGAGTAATTGTATGTATTATTGGTGATTTTCTGCAAAACACAAAACTCAAAGCTTATTTACTTCTGCCTTATTGGTAGATCTAAAATTAAAAGCCTTTTCAAGAGAACTTCTGTGCTCTGATTTATGCAAAGAAGCATACTAGTGTATAACACATATTTTTGTCCTAAATAAGTTTTTAAGCAAATTCATATGTTAGAAATGATTTTGATAAAATGTTTCTAATGCCATGATAACAATGATATGAAAATTATCACTAGAATAAGAATGGTAGTGTATAAAATTTTTTGAAATGAAAGGGGTTAAGGAGCGAGGGGGAAGTTTTCCATTATCTTCTTTAACTTCCCATTTCAAGCACATTATCCCTGGACTTCATGTCACACAGCCTTTGCTTGGAGTTAAGTTATCCCAATGTAAGAGAACCACCATTAATACAAATATATATACTAACTTTACGAGTCAGCGGATGGCAGGTGTCTCCCAGTTTGCCCATAGGTGTGCAAATCCTTATGCTCTTAACCCAGATACTAACAGCACAGCACATTCCTCCACCACACTGGAGGTCCTTTTCGCAGGCCTGAAATGCAATAAACAAACAGATAAATATAGATAGTGGGGAAGACTCAGGCTAAGGAAATCTAAAATTAGCAGTGAAAATGCTCTTTAAATATCCAAATGCTATGATTTTAAAAATCACATTTATAAAAAAGACTATAATCCTTGTTTGCTTATATATATCTACAATAAAATCTAACCAGAATAGATTTTTCCAGTTTTTCAAAAGTGGACTAGGTAATAGCCCCCCAGATTGTGGAAATCTTAAACAAACACAAGAGTTTTTGAAAAACAGGGCCGGCCCGTGGCTCACTTGGGAGAGTGCGGTGCTGATAACACCAAGGCCACGGGTTCAGATCCTATATAGGGATGGCCGGTTAGCTCACTGGGTGAGCATGGTGCTGACAACACCAAGTCAAGGGTTAAGATCCCCTTACCTGTCATCTTTAAAAAAAAAAAAAAAAGTTTTTGAAAAACAACATCAGCTCTCTTTTTCTAGTGCTTTATGGCTGAATTGGCTTTGAACTTGAAGAATTAGTCTGTATTAGTCTTATACTATACATGTCCATTAGGAACTACATAAATTGAATCACAAGATTTTATGACTATTAACTGCAGAATACATTAGGCTCAATTTAAATCAGAGATTTAAATTGTCTCTAAATCTGGCATGAAACACTCTAGACCCATAAAGGCACTGATGTAAATTTTAGAAGTGCTCATTTTCCCTTTCAAATATTTGCATTTTGGTTCATGAAACTTGATGTTTCTCACGCCACTAACTTGATTTTCACCATTTCCTCTTTAAAAAAAGAAATCTCACAGGTTGAGAATGGACAGACCAAGATTTTTGCCTTATGTTGCTCTTCTGTCAAGTGAATAACCTTCAAAAAGAAAATTATTGTTTCGGGATATACATATGTGTACATTACAAAACCAGCTGAACTATCTTATAAGATCCATCAGATATAGAAATACAAGTGACAGATGCAATTATCAACAGTAATTACTAAAGGCACCTGTTCCCAATATAGTAAACACATATAACCAATCAACCACAAAGGAATTTCCATACTCTACTAAGTAGAAATAAATAATGAAATCTGAATTTATTTGCATGAAAATATATCTGAAGAACTACTGTTCTTTCCTAGAACCAACAAAAACCAGGATGCTTTGTTTGAATGGTATGCAGTAATCTGCTCTGCTACTGATAAGGTAAAAACATCCTATATTATGTATGCAAGAGACTAAAAAGCCTACAATTTAGACACAAATTTAAATGTACACTTATGGAAACAACTAAAACAGTCCTTCAAAGCTCTCAGTTTGGGAGACAACTATAACTTCTCAAAATGTAAATATATGGCACATTCTTATTACTTTTCATTAAAAGTGACCAACTACCTTGCTTTAGAGTTTATTTACTTCCCCCACAAATATTTCTTTTTTCTGAGTCTACTCAAAACAAGCATCTGGATAAAAATGACAATTTTCATCTTGGGGTGTTTGGAGTTTATAGAACAAGATCTAAACATTTCCATTTTCCAGTTTTTATCTGTATGCCAGAAATCATGTATATGTGGCCATAAATGAGATGCTCAGTCAACAATCTTTCCCAATATGGTTTTAACAAATCTATGTGAACATATAAATCAATTTCAAAATGCCTACATATATTACCAAAAAAAAAGTACATTTATGGTGGAAACTTCAGCCAGTATTTTATTTCAACAGATGCTCAATACTCCAAATTCTGAAGCCCTACTAGCTCTTTTTATAGGGCAATCAAAAATCTAGCCAAAATCTGTTAAAATTCAATCAATCACTTGGATGTTTAACATCCTATATACAATGTTATCTAGATAAGTCACTGAGTTTTTCATTTGAATCCAGATGGTTCCTGTCAGAGACATAACTACATTTTATTACCATATTGCTCTTGAGAAAAAAAAATTAATTCTCTTTTCATAACACTTAGTTAACAACAATGACAAAACCAACACACACGACTACATAATAAGTCTAAACTCTCTAACAGATAAGCATCCAATGCGATAAAATTTCATTTTGTAACCAAAAGCTTCAGTTCTTGGAAACTTTACAAAGAATTGCACAGGTTTATATATTTTTAATTAGCCGTTTCCTAAAGCCCTTCATACTTAACCCATTGCAGATCTATTCAAATAGTGTTGTCCTGTGAATGGAACAAAAAGATACTCATATTGCAAAGGAATCTTGGGCTCAGAGGATTAGTAGAAATTTAAAATGAGCCAGCAGGGGAAGAGAGGGAAAAACCCAATCATGCTTCCATTCTTACGTATTAGAAAGACCTGTGAAAACTTTTTTCAACCACATGGACTGGCTACTGACAAAGCTATGCAAATAACTAAAAAAAAAAAAAAAAAAAAAAAAAAAAAAAAACAACTCTATTCTAATAATATCACAAAGCATATAATTAAATATCTATCGGATATAACCAAATGTTATCATAGCACAAGGGCTTCCAAAATGCCATAAATCTATTAACTAACATAAAGACAACAGAGCTTCATTTTCTCAAGACTATGACATTTCCTTCAAAGTTAAATGTTATTCATTATCTATATATCATTTCAAATATAGAATTCTTATTTAAATCCTATCACGTGCACTTAGATATTTGAAGTAATATAATGAAGGTGTAAAATAATTCCGCCATTAAAAAAGTCAATAAAGAGTAAAGCAGTTAGTTGAACCACCAGGAAACGGTAGCAGTTTTGCATTGTTGATGTAAACTAGTCTAGACTTTATTTCATACAGTAAACTCATTTTTCAGATCCACACAAAGAATATTGTTGGGAGTAGGAGAGAATTGAACAAATTCCTACTTCCGAAAATGATGAAGATGACTTCTCTAAGTTTAAACATGTACATGACAGCCCAATCCATAATTACGCACTGGAGGTGCTTTATCAGGAATCAGAAATGGAAAACTGTTACAGGGAGAACCTCAAGACTCCTGGGGAGGTGGAGGGGGGGGAGCTCGGGAACCCAGGAGGAAGCGACCACAATTGCTTTTCAAAGCTCACACATGGCCCTGGACCAAGTTATTTCAAAGGGTTTGCGCGGAGGACACACATCGGGGAGCAAACTCCTTGAATGTGGGATTAAGACCCCCGGCAGCTGGGGCATTCGTCTCGTTCCGCTGCATTTCAGGAAGGGGCCATCCAAATTCGAGGCTGGGGCGCCTCGAAAAGTACTTGAGAGGGCTCTAAAAGAAACTTCTCTCAGCTTAACAAAAAAACCAGTCCCGAGCCGAGGAGCGCAGTGTGGGGTGAGGCGGGGAAGTCAGCGGGAGACGGTGGTCATAGAGGTGGAGGCTGACACTCCTGTCACTTTTTCTTCCAGGGTGCGCCCAATATTCCGGGCCGTCTGCAGCTTTTGGAGCAGGGTACTTTCCCAACTATGGCAAAGGGTGACTGAGGCAGGGGTCCCCGCCCGGGACGACCCTCGCCTCCCCTTCGGGGTCCCCATCCCGACCCCCGCTGGGCGCATCCCGGGCGCGCAGGCGGGAGGACAGGTGCGCCCGGGCCGCTTACCCCGGTGATCACGGCGGCGTCCCCGGCGCGGGGCGGGGGCAGCCGCCGCGGCCGCGGCGGGGCGGGC